ACAGAAAAGAAAAAAAATTATAAGATCATATGAGAAATTATATAAAAAACTTAATCAAAGCTCTGTGTCTGTCATATTTAATGAAGCTTGCATAAAAGAAGGATTGCTGCCTAAATATGCAAAATATATATATATATATATATATATATATATATATATATATATATAATGTAATATTAAAAAAAAAAATCTTACAATCTAAAATGTGTTTCGGCTTTAAATAACCCAGAAAGTGTTGATAAGCTGTAAAAAAACAAAAAAAAAAACAAATCAATCAATCAATCAATGCCTAAAGACATGACAGTACTGATCCCTGACCTGAAAGGCTTGAAATCCGGGAGATGGTAAAGTAAATCTCAGTCTTTTTGCTTACTATTGAACCTTGATTTTTTCAGTGTAGGTACACCAATGCTTTTAAGACACCTTTGGTTCCAGAACTGGGCTGGATTATCCATTTTGGCAGATCAACAGAGGTGAAGTAAAGATAATTCCATAGTGCATCTCTGACCCACTAATTATGCACTTCATTTCATTTCATACCTTTAAAGCATGAGGACATTACATCTTTCATAAATATCTCAAAAGGCTTGCCAGGATTTATCACATCTAACATATTCTTCATGAAAAGTAAGCAATACTTTGCCTTCACAGAGTGCACCATTTCTTAGATCAGGTGGTAATTAATTAGTATACACATTATTCTTAGACAACATTTCTGCTCTAGAATTGAATGAACAATTGTAATTTTTAAGCAATTGATTTTTTTTAATTTGACATTATTATTGGATTAAAAAATTGGACAATGTTTAACTTTGTGCCCACAAAAAAAAAAAAAAAAATGTGTCAAAATGGTTATTCCCTTGACACCGCTAATACTGTACACACTTTTGACCCTCTTGGCAATGTTTATCTATAAGGTTATAAAAATCTGTGAACCAAGTACAATGTGATATTTATCATTTACCTTTTAGGATTAATACAAAATAAAATTTGTCTCTTAGCTGGAGTTTTGTAGACAGACCTTTTTGTAAATGTTCTGTCTACCTATCAGGAGGTATCAACCATTTTATGAAAAAATAAATTTGAAAAGAAATCTTTTTGTTAAAAATTTATAAAAAAAACATGATTATTAAAATATGTAAACCATCTACAATGGAATATTTATTATTTACCTTTTTATAAATAACTATGAAAACAATTTTTTTATTCATTGTTTTATATAAATGTAGAACAATTATTTCATTATAGTTGGTTCACATATTTTATACTCTTGTAAATATAAATTATTCTTGTAAATAAGCAATCTAATAAAAATTTGTAATTAGCATCTTTGTTGTCTGTTCTCAAGAATAAAGAAAATGTATAAATCCGCTTTCATATGTTTGTTTTATTCAAATTCTAATCATTGCTTTTTAAAACAATAAACATTGCCAAGGGAATCAAAAGTGTATATAATAATAGCGGTATTAAAGGAATAATTGTCCTTTTGGCACACAATTTTTTTGCAGGTACAAAGGTTAAACATTGCAAAAAGTTGTTTATGAATTACTTGGTCTACTTTTTGGGTATGACAATAAAGTTAGTAAATATAGATCTTGAAAGTTTGTAATGAGAAATATGCATTTCTTGAATAGGGCAATTGATCCTCATTTGCTGTAATGGCTTCCTGTAGTTGAAGAATAAAGTGTTTAAGAGTAATTGGTTTTCCAGATGAAAAAGGGAATACAGATTTTATTTTTTTTTTTTTTTTTTTTTTACTCACGAGGTACATAAATATTGACTTTTTGATTAATACTTATCCTGTTGTAGTCCTGTGCCAGGATAAGGAGTTCAAACAGAGAAAAGAACTCAGACTTCTCAGAGGTCCTTTCCTACTGTTGTTATCATGAAACCCAACACTGCTTTCCACATTGTACTTAGTAGAGTGGATATAGACATAGTCAAGTAATTTGTTTGGTTCTTTGAAATGCCATAAAAAAAAGTCCAGTGAAGCACCCTAGTGACTTTTCAGTTATGGTACTAACCAACTAATTAATATTAAATTTACTATTTGATTAATATTAACTAATCAGTTAACATTAGATTTAATAAATTAATCAAGAATCAAATTAAGTCATTGGTTTACTGCCATGTGTGTTTTGTAACATTTGTAAAATTATTTAAGAAATTTTAGTATTGCAGAGTAGAGCAAGAAAATACAGAATAATTATTTTTTTCACAAATTTAAAATTGTTTCTCTGTTTCTCTATTTATAACTTTAAAACATAAGAAAATTAGTCTAAATTTTGAAATTTACTTTGGTAGATTATGATCTGATTTTATATATATATATATATATATATATATATAAACTGAAGAAACTGCATAATTTTCTCTTTAAAAAGGTAACCTTTTTTCATCCAACACTGACTGTCTCTGACAGAAAGAGAAATTTATTGATTCTTTTTCTTTATTGAGTGCCCTGTGAGTCTATATTGTCCTTTTTAAACTCACTGGAACTGTTTATTCTGTTTTTTGCCATTTTCCCCTTTTATTTTTTCTCCCCTTTTTAATATCAAATTGTGTTTTAATTGTAGTTCCTTGTTTTTGTCTATTATTCTGCGATTCTTGCTAAAATTGTACTAGTTGCCAAAGATACTTCTGATGAGATGTTGGCTGAAAAAAGGTTATTTTTTAAAGGGAAAAATATGCAGTTTTGTCTGTTTAAATCTAAGTTCTGTGGTATCAAACACACACACACACACATGCACATATATATATATATGAGAAAAATGTATGATAAAGTGGAAAATCTTTTCTTGTGACGGGTTTTGTCCGTTAGGACTTCATTGGACTAAATTTGTTATGTTTAGTCTGATGAAGTCCTAAATACATTTTTCCCCAATATTCTTGATATAAAAATATATCATTATCTTCTCTGTGTGTGTGTGTATATATAAATATAAACACAAGGGTGGATTTATTATCATATTGAATTTTGATCTGAGATTTTAACTGTATAATGTTTGATTAATAGAGAGGTAAACTGACTAGAAAGAAGGTTATGTTGAAAAAATAAACAAAATAAATGCTTTAGTTATCATTATACTTGTGACTTATTGAGTTACTGACATGCATATATAAGACATTTAACTAATAGAATGTTTATATTTTTATTGTATTTTTCAATTTTTGAATAAGATGTATATTAAAAGTAAAATTGTGAATAAACTGTCCAAAGTTCATATTTTGTTGAAAAAATGAAGCCCCATTCTCATTAAACATGAACTGATTCAAACTTTCAGCTCTTTATAAAATACTATGATGTAGGCAACAGAATCTAGCATACCTCACCGACTGTACATGGTTCTTGATAATGACTGAGATGGTTGCATGTACTTGAACAAAAACAGCTGAGCAAACATGAACTTTGGACAGTTTATCCACAATTTTGATTCTTATATATCTTGTATCTTATATATCTTATTCAAAAATTAGAAAAATACAATAAAAAATTAAATGGACAGTCCTTTTTGTTTGATTTTAATAAAACTTGTATGTATGTATGTGTGTGTGTGTACATATATATAGGGTGATTTAAAACATAAAAAAATTTATGAGAGTACATTTATTAGAAAAAGCAGAACACCCATAAAAGTATTACCATTTTTGGAATCAACCATGGAAGATTCCAAGAATGTTCTAAGACAAGAATGGGGAACCAGTTAAGATCTTTTTGAAATAATAAGTCCTGCTATTCTAATAAATGTATTTCTATGTAAATGTTAACATTTTTCAGATCACTGTGTGTGTGTGTGTGTATGTATGTATATATATATATATATATATATATATATATATATATATATATATATATATTTTAAACATTTTTTAGTCCAAGTTTTCTTCTAAAATCAAGAAAATACTAATTTAAGTAAAATGCTTATAAAAAAAGGTTTCAGTATATACTGACAGCAGGGAGAGATTGGTATATTTCCTACTAAAATATGGCTAATTTGTTTACTCTTAGGGTTATTTTGTCACCAAATACAACATTTCTCTATTTTTGAGAGTATTAGTAATATATATATATATATATATATATATATATATATATATATATATATATATATATATATGAAGAAAAATATATGGAAAAACAAAAATCCGAATATGCAAATATGCTGTTTTAATGTTATTTCAATGTCGATGTCAGACATTTTGGTCTAGTAGACCTTCTTCAGGACATATTTATTAAAACATAATTAAAATTAGATGATATTCACGTCAACATGACCGAAATGTTTGACGTCGACATTGAAACAACATTAAAACAGCATACTTGCATATTCGGATTTTTGTTTTTCCATATATTTTTCTTTATACTGTCGGATCTATATCCACATATTTGCTTACACACACACACACACACACACACACACACACACACACACACACACACATATATATATATATATATATATATATATATATATACTCTAAGGTAATGAATTTTATTTGTCAATCTAACAGATTTTTATCACTTTAAACGTTATTTTTAGTGGATACTCATATTTGAGTAGACACTTTGTTTATTTATTAAACAGTAAATGTTTACCAGCCAGAATATTTGAGAAATCTTAGAGAGAAATAAGCACTCTCTGGCAGGAGATTCCCTTAGGGGAAACTGCTATTAGATCTGTCATACTTTGGACTTATGGTCAATCAAAGTTGAATAGCACCTTTAAACACAGTCTCTTGAAACAGGCATATCTACACAGTTTCATATCCTAACATAACAAAATAATTTCTAAAGAGGTATTTTTTTATTTATTAATCTGACTGATTTTTATTACTTAAATGTCATTTTTAATAGATACTTCTATTTGAGTTTTTTCACCAGAAATTCAGTTTTCATTATTTTTTTTTGTTCATATTTTTATTTTTTTAAATTTTTAAAATTTTTTTGCTTCACACATTTTTCTTTTTTTTCTTTTTCTTTTTTTTAAAACTTTGTTAAGATCCTCCATCATTTCATCTGTCCAGCCCATTTCTCATAGACTTTTACAACCAAATCTGGGCAATATCCACCCCAGGTCAGTAAGTACCATGCAAAAGAGAAGCTTATTCTAACCTCACTGATTTTCAAATCCCGTGACACTAAACATTTTTTTTTTTTATATAACTTGGAATGCATGTTTTACCCAAAAGAAAACATTTTCTAGCTATTTGGCTCCTGCTTCCACATCCCTGAATCTTTCTGGAATCATATTTACTAATGATTGCACCACCCCTCATAGCTGGCTCACTTCAGTCCAATATTCTGCATTTGCTCTATTGAGGTTGTTATGCTTCTTGAAAGACAAATGTTTTTTTGTTTTTTTATTATGTGTTAATATTTTTAATTACTGCTTTTGTGGTTCAGGTTACATGTTTTTTTTTTTTTGCTTTTCTAACATTCTACCTTTAAAAACAGATTTTAATATTTATCACCTATACCATTGGCATCCTGAAAATAAAAGAAAACACCTGTTTATCTGCCCATAACTTTTTAACATCTTTTCTTTTTCAGGTGAGAATTTCATCTTTACTGTAACTTTTACTATGACTTACGAGATTATTAGATTTGGGGAAAATAAACATTGTTATTAATCAAAATGCATACTTTTGTGTGCGCATGGTGGCTGGAACAATTGTGTATTTCCCACCAATGTTAGTAGACAGTGTTCAAGTGTTACTAAAATCTAGAATTTCAAATGTGGATTTCCAAGGCTGATAAGTTTCTCTCACCTGGAAGATTGGTGCAACACAATTTTTTTTATTATTCAGCATTGTACCAGACTAAGTTGAGATTCTGAGTACACACACACACACACACACACACACATATATATATATATATATATAGTTTGTAACCCTGGGTTTCATGGTTATGTGATTCTCAGTTTTGTCTGAGGCTCGCATAAGCAGGAAACAAAACATACTCATATCCATTAAACTAAATATATTAGCTCTATCCATTAAACTAAATATATTAGTTCTATCACTAATAGTATTGAGTGCTTTCCAATAAGCACTGCACATATATAAAATATATATGAAATTATATATATATATATATATACATATAACTCACACACACACACGCATATATATATATATATATATATAAGTGGACATTGAAGTCAACACCCAGAGGTGTCAGGGTTTTGACTTCAATGTTCACTATTATATTTACATGTGCTCTATCTCTGATATTGATCACTTTAACCTATAAATATAGTATACCGTAAAACTATATTTTATGATATATATGAATAAAATATCTTAATCAGGTTTCCAGAATAACTTTTTTCATTAGTGTCTCAGAATTGTCCCAAAAGAATTTGGAACCTTCCCAAAGGCAATATTGTTTATTTATTTATTTTTTAAAAACTTTATCATTTATAGTTGTTAGTACCATAATAAAAGATGACTGTATCGTTGTTAGTAATATAAAATAATATAGTTGTCAGTAGCATAATAAAAACACCATTAAGATATTTAAGAAATAAAAAAAGTTAAAATATTAAAGCTTTAAAAAAGAATTTAAAAAAACAAATTAGGTAAATTTCACTGTAATTTTATAAGAATCACATCTTTATATTTATTTAAGCATTTCAATTAAATCACCATGATTAATTTTACACAGAAATGTTATTAATTTTCATGCTCAGAGCAACTTTTATCAAACTTTAATTTAATAACTGTACTCTATGCATTCATTTTCTATATAAAGAATATTAACTCATCTCAACTATTCACTATAAGAAATCTTTTTAAGACTTTATCAAAGATTTTTAATTTACTATTACCTACCTTGATATTGTGACTGAATTTTCTATACTATTTTCACTGAAGTTAAGCTACCTTGAACATGGTTACTACCTAGATGGGTGAACACTTGGTAATACCAGGTGTTGTAAGCATGGATGTGTGGTTTGTAATGGATAATGGCTCAGAATTGTTAATTGGAGAGCTGAGTTCCAATTCCAGTTGGGTTTGTTATATTCACATACAGAAATACCCTGGGAAAGTATGAATCCACCTCTTCTCTCCACATCTATGGGTTAATTAGTAAGACTTGCTTCACTAAAACCATTATTACCTCCCAAAACAAAATAACAATTCTTATAATCTAAAAATATTTTCTGGCTTTAATTAACCTACAAAGGGTTTATCAGCCATAAAAAAAAAATCAATCAATGTAATACTGATAAGCTATGCAGGCATATCTTTTATGTTTATTTACATTCTCTGGAATATAAATGTATAGAAACTACTGTGGCCACAAAGAGGGAGTTCAGTTTATATATTTATTGTAATATAGAATTGATCTCCAATTTTATATTCACATTATAATTTCTTTTTTGTTTATAAAATTCTGATTAGGTATGAATTCACCTCCTCCCCCATCTATGGGTTAATTAGTTAGACTTGTATAACTAAAACCATTATTATCTCAAAAAAAAAAAAATTCTTATGATCTAAAAATATTTTCTGGTTTGAATAACCTGAAAAGGGTTGTTAAGGTGTAAAAAAAACCGAATCAATCAAAATAAATTTTCTGTTTTTTTTTTTATCCTTTTTAAATTTCTCCCCTCTATTTTCAATTTAGTTTATGATAAGCAGAAAGCCTAACTCAATGTTGTTAATGGTTTGTTCAAGTGTTTCAATAAAAAATTGACAGAAACAATATTTGGCAAACATGGACCTTCATGGCCACAAAAAAAAAATTGAATGTCAAGAGCGCAGTTTTTCCATGACACAGTTGTTATTTTAACTACCTTTTACTCTTCAGCAATATTTGTGTTAAAAAGTGATGATTAGAACTGTAATAAAACCTTAACATGTGAAAGTGAATTCATACATTTTCTTTGTTCTTGAGGATTTACAACAAAAATAATAAACACTATTTATTTATTAGATTGCTTATTTTCAAGAATAATTTTATATTTACAACATTCTAAAAACTAATACAATTAGAACTAATGTAATGTAATATTTATTATTTACCAATTTATAAAGAAATAAATTTGAAAACAATTATTTTTACAGACATGAAAGTTCATGTTTGTCCAGTGTTTCTTTGCTTTGTTTTTTTTTAAAGCAAAAATAATTCACATGGAAATATAACACAAATATCTAAATTGATGTCCTTTAACCTTCATTTTTCATTCAGGTTTCATTCACTAGTTCAAAAAGATTCTCTTAAATGTTGTTTTTTGTTTGTTTGTGTATATATGTGTATGCTCCATTTATTAAATGCCCACCACTATTGGTGAGAAATAAGAATTTATTTTAAGTAATTAGTGCCTTTTAAAATGTTTTCTTTTTTTTTTAAAACAATGATGTTCACTCTGTACAAGTCTTAAAAGCCATACAAGTATGGGGTTACAGAGTGTCATCACCCCAAGCAAAGTGACAATGGCATCAAGGTACCAGGAAGTGAAAGAGAATGAAAAGACTTTAGAGGGAACTGGAAACCTAATCCTAAACAGGAAACGAGAGTCGCTACTCTTGTTCAAAAACTAGGGAAATGTGTAAACTGGATGATAGGCAAACCTATCTACACCTAGTGAAGAAAAAAAAATGTATATAAATAGTAAAGTTCAGAGTTTTAAGCAGAGACGTTAGCAGTATAGAGTTGGAGTAGACATTAGAAGGCACTGGAAACCCAGTCCTAAATAGGAAATAAGGAATAAACCTCTACTCATGTTCAAAAGACTGCAGATGAGTGTGAACTGGATTATAGGCAAAAAAATAATAGAATTTAAATAAAATGGTGGTCCATATCTTGGATCATCCTCAAGACTTTCTCTTCCCCTCTTAAATGCAGCTGCCCACTTTTGCATGGTTGATAAAGCTGGAATATCATCCTTTAATGTAGCAACCATGTAGGCACCTTGGGGGTCTAAATCCTTTTTTCAGCAGGTGCTTGATAAAACGACAATGCCAAATTGTGTCCATTTTCAAGAGAAGTCACTACTAGTTACTTATGAAGTCGTCTTTGAACAGTCAGATGTTGTCAGTTTGCCTGGAAAGTAACATTGCAGTTATTAAGATGTGAAATTAATGCATGCAAGGTTTCACAGTGCTAGCATAATTCTTTTTATAGTCAGCCTATGAACATTTCAGTTCACCCTCATACTTTTTGTCTAATAATTATATGAAGCTGTGTCTTTAAAACAGTTCATACTACTTGCTGTATTTCCTGTATGCTAAGATGCTACAAGTCCTAAGACACAACCTATAATTAGTTCGGTGGTTTTTTTTTTTGGAACAAAAACAATATTTGAGGAGTTAATAACTTATTGTACTATCAAGTCCAAGTTGTTGACTCTATGGTGTCATTTTTCTTTCTGTCACAACAATTATCACATTTTGGTCCTATTATTAAATTTTGTGATTATTAATAAGTAGATTTTACAGATAACATCAGTGAGGCACTTTCACTATAAATAAACATGCTGGATTATGGGTACTAGGAATTGACAGTACATTTGCAATTAACTGTTGGCCTATTGAGTTAACTTGTTTGTTCTAATAGTCCACAAAGTGCAGTAATAAGGCTGATATTCTTGGTGTACATATGAAATGTAACTGTCAGCCTGTATTACATGGCTGGAGTTAGGGTCTGTGAAGATACCGTAGAGTATGTTGACATAAATGAAAGTACCGGTAGGAACCTGCATACTGGTTATCTTTAATACAAAAAAAAATATATGTAGCATGATACTAATGGGATATATGATATTTACTATAATCATTGTAGACTTGCATTATGTCTGGAGCTCATGATTGCTCATATCTCATGACTGGAGTTCTTTAGGATTGGTAAACACCACTTTACAACTTTCAGTGCTAAAATGCAGAGTAATTTTTTTTTGTGTGTCTTAGCAGACAGGAAATACAGTACTTAATTTAACCAAGAACATTGTAATAAAATGCAGCAATTAGATTGGTATTTAAAATTGTAGGATGTGTCACAAAGTTATGTTTAAAGGTAGGTGGCATACATTTACATACAGGTAGTGCCAGATATTTTCCTACTTCT